ATGGAGGAGTTGGGTTTGAGCAAACAACCATGAAGTGATCGTTCAATCTTCAGCTACATTAACAAAGTGCCTTGACAGTTTTTATTCACTTTCTGATTCACCTTCTTGAACTTCCAGCATTACATACTGGGACTGCAACCAAAATCTCTTTAGACACGGATTATCAGCGCAGTTTGGACTCTTCGGTGACGCTGGATAATTCCTGGGTCAAGGAATCCGTGACACCATGGAAGCACACAAAAGTAATTAACGATGATTTGACTGTTAATTGTAATGATATGTATGACGCTTAGCATGATGAGCCTGATGTTTACGCTTCGCCGTTTAGGGATAGTAGTATCTTAAGACTTTCCACATTTGAACCTCGGTACTTTGATGGAAACCCAGCCCACTACTCACAGTTTATCAAGGAGTTTGGGGTCATGCTGAGTGGTTTTTATTTTAAATGATGAAATGAAGCTAATGTATTTGTTGAGTTATTGCACTGGTGTTGCTGGAATGGCTATACAGTGCTGCAGGTTCATGTCTCTGAACGAAGGATATACAGAGGCTATGAGGATGCTACGTCAAAGTTTTGGAAAACCATTTATGATATCCCGTAGTATTTTCGAGACCTTGGAAAGTAATGGATCACAGTTAAACGATTATTCAGAGGAACTCATAGGGCTCTTGGACAGTTCAATGGTATATAGAAATACTCTTGTGTCTCTTAATTGCGTAGATGAATCGAATTCAAGTTCCGTGCTTAATAATAATGTATATTTTCATATACATACCAAGAGATTACCGGTTCTTCTGCAAGGAAAGTTCATAATGATCAGCTCCCATCTAGAAGAGGAGGGCTTAGAACCCGAGTTGGGTGATATTGTGAGCCTGGTGAAAGACAGTGTCAACCAGGTTTTTGAGAGAGTTTGCTAGTACACTGCATTCCACTCCTGTAATAGAGAAATCCGAGAGCGAAACGCAATCATTTATGACGAAAGAGACTCAGAGTAGTGGATATCGGGAAAGCCTCATGGTGTCTAGTAATCCATACAAACTTAATGAGTGTAACAGCTTTCGTGGGACGTCCGCAACCGATAGGTCACAAATTGTGAGGCAGACACGGTTGTGGTTTGCACGTTTGCAAGATGTCCATACAAAGGTGAACTGTGAAGAAGTGACCAAGTTTAATGGTAAGCTAAATGTGAAACCAGCGTCATCCAGGTCTGACTACGAATTGTGTGACGATAGTGGTGCAGTGAAGAAGCCTGTAGTTGCAACTGGTTAGCCATTGTTGATTAGAGTATCACAGATGACACCGCAATTTGTTCAGAAGAAGAAAGGTACAGTTTCAGAGTCCAGTTCTGACTCCACAAGTTTACAAGGTCCCACTAGTCAGAGTGAAGGTATAAAACCTCCTAGGATTTGTGAGAAAGAGCCCAAATCATCTACTCCTGTTATTAAAGAGTTTGAAAATGATGAAGTCAATCATGCAAACGGCGGTAAAGTGGGTATTTGTGATAATGGTTATGATAGTGCAGATTTGTCTTTGGCTGATCATGATGAGATGAGCGGAACGCCTACTACTGCTGAGTTGAACGAAGTTTCTGTACAACTTGAACGTGAAGTAGAATTGAAGGCAGATGCGGTTGCAGAAGATATGGATACCAGTGAGACCGTCAGCGTAAATGATCATCGTGTAGCCCACCTATCGACAGATGTTAAAAGTGAACCAGAGCTAATAATAAAAGACAGCAGTGGTGGTAATCTTGCAGTTAGACAACCTTCTTAAGGTAGAACAACAACAGTTTCCAATGCACTGTTGAGTTCATCAACTTGTATAGCTCAGTCGTCGTTGGTGTTTTCATCCACAATGAAAGGGATGTCCATGAACTCAAGTGTCTTGTGCAGTGACTATGTTGGTATCGGTGCACTTGGAAGGGCGAAAGATATTGGTCGGTTAAGTGAGGATAAGCCAACCGTGTACGAGAGGGTAGTTGTTAAACTGGCTTGCACGAATAAAGGCCTTTCAGGTTTCAAGTTGCTATTTGAATGTTATTATCGTTGGTGTAAATTGCTCTGTGACTTCGCTTGATCGGTCAGATACGTCGTATGTTTGTAAGTCATATATATTTTACGGTACAATGACATGGGCGTGTCACCGTTCAGAGTTTAGGACATAGATGATGGGAGGAGGTCAGAAAATGAACTCTGTGATGATTTTCCAACCTAGGGCGTCAACCTGAGAAGGGTTGCAGACTCACTAGTGTAAGTCCTACAGTTCTTCAAGGGTAGCTCGTCAAGACAGAGTCCACAACATTTGATGTATTGTTTGTACATATATTCCTGTTAGGTAATTGATTGTATTCCGATTCATTTAATTGTTGGTTTATTTAATAGTTGTCGCATTGTGTGAATCATCTTGTAATGTTATCGTAAGTACTTCTAAAGTCATTTCTAGCCTTCCGAACTTGTGAACGAATCGAGTGCTTTTATAGTCAGTGTATGCGATTTGATACGCCTGGGAGGGGATATTGCCAGAGTGATATGAAGCAAGCAACATCCCGTGGACCAGATCGGTGGTGGTACTGCCGACAGAGAGCGAAGGGAAGTTCCGATCACTGAATGAGATCCCACACGCCAGGGAGAGCGCACTGGTGTAATGCGGTATGCCTGTTGTGTGTTGGGCTTTTTTGTCTTCCTCTTCCATTTAGCCTAGTCCCGGTTGGCCCAGGTTCCCGCGTTGGCAGTTCAGTTCAAGGTTATCGGCGCTATGGAAATAGGGTATGGAGCCTTTTTTTACTGGGGACTGTCAATGGAAGTGAATGTTGAACGTTTGTTTTTGGAACTGGTAGCCATTGGTGGGCAACTCAAAGGCGCAAATGGTTCGATCGTATACAAGTTCGACGAAGACGAACAAAAACGAATTAAAGTACATAATAATTTCGAATATAACATTTGTTTATAGACTTGTGTGGTGAGAGCAGGCTTCTAGCCAGTTGGTAGACACTAATCGCCGCTGATTGGTAGATATTAATCTGGGCTGATTCAACAAGCAATCACAGCAGACTTAAACGTGGGCAAATATGATTCGCAGATGAATGGCCCTACTTTCCGAGAAATATCGAAAACCACCAATCAGGAGTCTGTGTTCGTCTTCCGAGAAACAACCAATCAGAAGACTGCCTTTTTCTGCTTGCATAAGCCTTATTAATGTACATAAAATATATATAAATACGCGTTGATTTTCGCAATAAAATGATCTGTTGCCTGGCCCTTGTCTTCTGTTGTTACACTTGTACTGTTCTCCACTTTAATTGCCAAACAATATAACTTCCTTCTTATAATACTGGTGTTTTGGAGTTAAAGTCGAAGAAAGTAAATAGTATTTATCGGTGCGGAGCGTCTTTGTAATAATAGGAACTTAGGGATAAGTTCCTTGAGAATATTTCTTTGTTATAGTTTCTCGAAAAATTAAGTCTTATATCTGCAAATTATATTCTCACACGTCATGTCCGCTGTGATTGGTGTAGATTGAATTTAGATGAAAGGAGCCTTATATGTCCGTATCAAACAGTCCAAGAAACATTTTTATTAGTAGCGCTATTATAATCATCAGATTGCCCGTTGTACAAGATGTAGATTTTTTTCTCTTGTGTCTAAACAAGAATTAGTAGCGCCAACTGAATGCTCTATTTCTGGACCTCATTATAGTGACATGCACACTTAAAATTCGGAACATTAACCAGTTGTCTTCAGCGAGTAGGTTAGATAATATCTGGAAGCACTTAACATGACATTACTCTCAGTAACACGAAAAAATTTTCTTTTCTTTAAGAAGTTAATGAGGTCTGCAGCCAGTAAGTCACTTGGCTGGGCGTTGAAGCTCACTTCGACAAAATGAAGTAACTGCGTAGTACTCAGCTATGATGCAAAGCCTAATTTTTTCGACAGGATATTAAGTGATCATATCAGAATTATGTAACAGACAGCAATCGGTCTGAGTGTTTAATTCATCAAATTTGACCGCCATTTCATAGAAGAGCCTCTTGCCTTTCAGGTATTCCATTTGTTCAGCCTTCAGAAAATATCCTGAGGCGGGCGGGATGGCAAAAATTTTTTTCCCACCGTAAAGATGTCAGTGGACGACAAGTTTGAAGCCCCTCAAAATAGAAGAAAAAGCTCCGGAACTATTGTTTACCAGTGAGAGCAATAGGGATAAATCGTGTACAGTATCACGGCACCCACACTGATTAGAAGAGAGAGTCCAAAGACGGGCGAAAAAGGAGTGATGGGTCCCCATGTCTAAATGCATGATGGACGGATAAAGAAATTAGGTCTCTTCACACTTAACTACCGTCGGCTTAGAGGGGATATGATTACTGCCTATAAGATAACAAATGACCAGAATCACCCTTACGAAAGTGTCCTGCCATTAAGTATGTACTGTCTTCCTCTCGAGCATCCACAAAGTATAGCTCACCAGAGGGAAGGGCTCGAGTGTGCCCCCATTTTTTTTCCACTGCCGGTTTACCATCCTTGGAACTCCTCACTGGAAGATTTGGCTACAGCATCTTCCGTGGGCAACTTCAAGTGAAGGCTAGACAATCATGCAGAGACAGAAGGACTTCACCCAAACGACCTGTCACCTGTAAATCTCATACAAAATTAATAGGTAGAACTTTAAGTCTTCTTTCTTTTTCTTAGTCTACACTACCTTCACTATTTATATCTGTTACTATTATCTCTTTTTTTGTCAGCGACATCGGATGATTAACCAGTGAGAAGATACGTTCATTTCGCAGTAAGAACAATGCTTAGCACACCAGACACCACAAACTACGTTTAATTTATCCTAGCACCACTCCTCTTGTAGTCAACCAAAGCTACTACAGTCAAGTGGCGAGGCGAACTAAGGAGAATTTTAACAAATAACAGAGAGCCCTACTTGATAACGGATAAGCGAGCACAAAGAAGTCAAATTGGTTTACGCTGGGTATTAAAACACGATATTGGATACTGGATTCCTGGGTATTTTGAGCGCTCGACTCAAGTGCTTTCGTCACCGTCACCATTACGGCTTATAGGACAACTTTCCTAGTTCCTGGCTTGTATATGTTGTCAGGTTTCGACTGACGGCAGTTGACGAAGAAGGTGTGCAAGTGTATGCGTAAATATTCTGCTCTACTTATTGTGGTTTTTCATTGGGAAGTTATTGTAACCCTTCAAATAAACTCTTATCGATGGTGTAAATCAATAGTAACAGGCCAGTTGTGACATTTACCACTATGTATCCATAAATATCCTGTGTTGTCACTGTTTTGGTGACAGAACATTGAAAAAATTCTCTATAGGGATCAACGTTATATTTAGTGACCAGTTTTTCTTTATTTTACTGTAGAAGAATTCAGCAAAGATTTATCTGTTTTACATTTGAGTTTAAGGTATTATAGCCTGTGCGCAGTGTCTTTTGCTTTAACGCCACAAGGTGTTTAAGTTGGTCGCAATTCTAAACGTTACGAAATATTTCCAGAATTTCTTTTTGATAACCGAGTTAAGTACAATATTCAGATGTGGTGTATTCTCGTCTACTTAATGATTTTCACTAGAGATTCAGTTTTATTCTGGTTTCTTGGAGATACAAAATCTTGCACTAATAGTATCAACGTGCTGTCTTTGGTCGAGTTAGCGTAAGTCACGTCGTATTCCAGCTTAATTTGTATCCGTGCATCTGTATTCACCCATTACAGTTAAGGGATTACTTATACAACCTGAGGGTCAATATAGTCTTAAAAATCTCATAGCCATAATTTGTGGCTTGTATTGGCAATTATTTGCACGTGATAATTCAATGATAAAAGCAGTTTTGTAAAAGCGTTGTGACTGAATGTAGCTGTGGTTGAAAGTCGTAGATATGAAAAAGCTAGCTGTTTTGAGAATAGATGCATGCATCCACTCACCCACGTTATATAGTGTAGTATGCGTGATACATGGATTAAGTGTAGTGTTAGGTAAGAAATGATAGTCGATGAGAATATGAAGTTGCATCGATTGAAACGCCTGTCGCCTATGTCAAGCCATTGTTGTCCTCATTAGACGATGTTAGCTTGCATAGGACTGGGTTGGAAAAGAGTTCAAACAAATACCTGGTATGTCGTTCTTTGTCTAAATTAATAAAGAGAACCGGTTGTGTGTAATTCTGTGACTTATTTTGTACCACGTATAGGTGTGGATTGCTGGCTAAGCTCTTCGAGGCGCATGAAACCAAATAAGTGGAGAATGTAGGTGAAAATGCTCGAAATCGTTCTCAGTTATTCAGATGCATTCGCTCTTTATATCCCAAATTATTTAAATTCTCCCTGCAATTACTTTTTTCCTCTCCGCATATCTGTTCATTATAATTCCTTTTGACTTTTCTGTATTTTTGCGTGCCATATGGAATATGGCTATTTGGGCTGCTGTTCGTTTTCGCAAAGTTATACGTCGAAAACTCAGTCTCTCTCAACTTTCTCAATTCATGTTGTGGTTTATACTGTTTAAAAATTTGCGTTACAGTCGTGTCCACTACTCCGTTTAGCCGAAATTACTTATCTTTTATAGATTTCTGAATTTTATTATTTCTAAATTTACTAACTGTGGCTTCTGACCCTGTATCTGTAGGGTATAGAGTAGAAATGTCAGTCTCCTGAGTTTGCTTATATTTTAAGTTTAAAATTCGTTATTTAAAGGTAGGTTTTAACAGGAAATAACACAAGCTAGGGAAGTTGAACTGGAATCTAGTGAACATTCAAATGGTATTTGAAAATGAATCCACTGCTAATCATCGACTGAATACGTAACAGACTTCTTGGAATTTTGATGAGAAGTCGTCACTAGTGTGAGGACGCATACTCGATGTTAACATAAGACGGCATTTATCCTATATAGTTGGTTACACTTGTAGGATTAATAAAACCTGAGTTTCCAATCCAGTGGACAAGTGGTAACATGCTTGTCCGACGAAATAAGGTCTTGGGTTCGATCATTTGCGAAGTAATCTGCGTACTGCTTATGAGGTTCAATCAGCCATCTATTTGCTCCCTGGTTGTCAATAATTCTCTCATTCAAGTTTGTTACGAAGCCTTCATTGAAACAAACCAGAAACACATGAACTCAGAATCCAGAAATCTTTTGTTTAGGCTTTTTCACTTACCTACTTTCTTATCGTTATCTCATTCTTGGACATGCTCTGGAAATTTTGTGGTATGGATCGCATGGGCAGTTACAGTAATATGTGTAACATTTCTATCTGGTACTCATAAAATTCAGAGCATAGTAGGGATTTTCATGCACAGTTTGTTATGAAATTCTAGAAATGGCTAGTCCTGGCTACCTGTTAATTATTTTATGAAATTAAATGTGAATATTTAAGGTATAAGAATTGTTTGTTGGTGACTTAGACGACTCACTTTCACTATGTGAATAAAGCCAGTCATAAAAACCCTATGGCTTTTAGACTGGTGTCATGTTTCATATGATTCACAGAAATATTCGAGTGGTCTTCCATGATGATATTGTTGCTGAAAATTAAACGTTGTAACACTTTAAGTGATTATTAGTGCGGTTTATATCCTCTTGGTGTTTAATACACGGCGAGCTTAATGAGCGTTATTTAAGATTTTTCTAATTTCGTCTCATTTCGTGATGAATGTACCAACTAGCTTAAAAGTGTCTACCTGCATTTTTATCTAACCACAGGATTGTAGTGATAAAGTCGTTACCCCTGGCCTTTTTTAAAGGAAAAAGAATAATGTTAAAAGTAGTCGCCATGACATATAATGATATAGTGAAGATATAAAAAATATCGGTATTTAAAGAGCTGTAGAATGGTTATCATCCTTTAGTTACTGTTGGCTTTACAAAAGGAATTCGGGATTAGTATTCAAGAGGTTTTACTAGTGGCTCAGACTTCATGACTAACGTAAGGCTTGGACCTAACTTTTTTTAGCTACTGGTCATAATGTTCTTTGTGTACGGAAATGGTGGTCCGTCGTCCTGAGCACTTGGATTTTCAGCCAACGGGTTTAGCTCCAGAACTTTGCATCATCTCCTTTAGCCTGGGTGACTGTGTAGTTTAATCATAAGACGCATACGGGGAAATTCTATGTCAGATTAGAGAGTTCTAACTAATTGTGAATCCAGTAACCCACTTTTAGCACTGGAACTGCGAAAAATTCAGTGTGTACGTGATTTGTTTATTTTGGTACCCAATTCTCAAAGGCTTTGATCTCACACCACTTACTAAGGTTCAGGCAAATAGTATCACTAGTATCCACACAATATGTGTGGGTCATCAGCAGCTGCATGAAAATCCAAGTGGTTGTTGAGTAATATTTATTTTAAGGTGTAAATGTTTTTTTTTCTCATAATTATCTCAAGCCAAACTTCTTTAATCTTATGCTTTTATGGATGCAAGATCCAGTGTATCAAACAGCTGAGTTCTGCTTTTTCATTTGCAACTGTTGTAAGTCAAGGTTCAACTGTGACAATTTACCGACTCGTACAGACGTTCTTCTAATACTTTTTTATAAGCAAGGTTACATGTTTTTAATGTAAAAATACCGGTTATTATACATTTTATTCTTTTCATTTGTTTTCCAGATTGTGTTTTTTCCGAAACGCACTTTTGTAAATTCATCTAGCACCAATGAAAGAGGAATCAAGCAATTTCCGAGAAAGGTTTGTTCTCCACAAAATTCTCATTTTATGTTGGTCAGAGTTCTCAATTTATTCAAATCATCAAAAGGGGCTCTCACCCAAAAGCATTTTGAAAAGGAATTTTCAGATGTTTCCCTCACTACCATACTACCCATCTTGAATGCTTTGCAAAAGGAGGGCATGCTGGATGTTCTAGTCAATGCAGATCGAACCTTATCATGGCAACTTAGGGATCAAATGTCAGCTGAGTAGGTAAAACCTATATGGATCTTATGTTTTTCCAGGAAATTGAAAAGTCTCTCAGATTTGGAAGAGCGTTTGGTTTATAATTCCATACGTAATGCTGGTGAAGATGGTATATATTCGATCTATTTTTATTCTCACCTCATTTTTATTCTAGCTGCGTCAGTAAAACTAATTAGTTCGGAAACTAAGTTACCCCAGAACCGTATTCCCAGAATACTGAAGTCATTGATTTCTAAGAAAATGATCAAAGAGTTGCCAATGGCTGTTGGTCACAAACAGAAAGTGTATCTGCTTATGGAGTTAGAACCTAGTGAAAAGTTAGCAGCAAACACACTGTTCGCTGGAGAATCTGGTGTAGACGCCGAGTTCATTTCTATTTTGAGAACAGCATGTTTAAAGTATCTTCAAGATAAGGTTCTTGTGCAACACCATCTTATCTGAATTTTTATAGGCTATTTCTTCTTCTCATATTGCTGACCCGCTGGAGCGTAGACTCGCTTCATATGTATCATGCGAAGAAATTCATCGATTTATAACTAACACAAAGATTTGCACAGTGAGTTTCGATTCGCAACATCACTCATAATATAAACTTTCAAAATGACCTTACTTAATGTATGCAAACGAATTCCACTTAGATTTATGGGGAGTTTCAGTTTATACCTAAATAGTTAGATATTTCACGCCAATATTTCGTCACTTAATACCTTTATGCCAAAGGACCAATATTTCCTCTTCTATAATCACTTTTACCGTCTGCTGTCAGAATATAAAACTAATTTATTGTGGTTTGTTGAGTTAACACATATAGTATGTTTTTGAAGATTTCTATGTTGATTCATTTGTCATTCATAAGAGCTCTAAGTTGAGTTTTTAATATTGTATTTTTCTTATATTATGCTTAAACAGGCTCTCAACCCCACACCTCAAGAATTAGCATACTACCAAAAAAAGCGTTCGTTTACTTGTGTTATTATGCAGAAGACAGTCCATTACGTGTCAGCTTTTGACAAAATGTATTCTTTTGAATCACCTGAACGAGAAAGTCGAGTGTTTCTGTAATATGATGCTACCGGACTGCTCTGCTTTAACTCCTAGTTTAGGCTTAAGTGATGAAATACGTTGACTGCTTCCCCTATTGGTGAGGTCGCTTCAATCTAAATGGGCTGCTATACTGCAGAAGTTTCAGGGGGATACATGACTCTCGTTCGACATTTGCGTCATCTTCGGGATTGTTATAGTTTAGTTGACTCTGTACCCCATTCTTTTGAAGTAATAAATCCATCACCAGGTTCCTCATGAATATTAGGAATTGAGAGGAGATAGATAACAAACTTTCGAGTTTTCTATTAAGTGTAATACATTTCCATTTATGTGTTGAATTTTTAACCGGATACATTAATAAATGAATATCAATAGCAGCATTCTAGCAGCCGTAAGTTTTGCATTGAGACTAAGGGTAATAGTGTGAGGTATATATGCATAGAAACAATCACTACTGAACAGTGATTTTTGTGTTTTAAATGTATGCATTTGTGTAGGTTATCTAACATTTCATTGATAATTTCTTCAAATTGTATTTCTGAAAATTATTTCCATAGGTTGCTATGAGTGTTCATGATGTTCAGTGCGTATTGGAAGCTTTAAAGTTTGGTGGTGAATTGGAGACACGTCTCAGTTCTGACAATTCTGATCAAAGTACTAGTTCGGGAATACTTTATCGACTTGCTACTCAAACTCCTTGTGCTGCCAATTTGGCACATATTCCTTGTACCGTATGCCTAGTAAGCCCTTCCTATTGTTAACACTGTTATTACATTTAAATATCAAATACAGTTACTAATGAATTGCCAAAAAAGACATGAATAATACATTACGTAACTTCATATTAGTAAATGTCTCATGCATTTTTTATGGGGAAATTACCAATTGTATATCTTTTTAATTTTCCCAAGTAGTCATTACTTTTTACCCTCGGTTTCGAAATGATATTAAAAGGATTGGACTAACTTGGTCATTGTTGAATTAATAGTGAAATTATGGTAACGGATCCTCATCAGAATCTATTATCAGTGTTCAGTGTGCGTAAAGCAGTAAACATCTGTTAGACTGCGCTCACAAAATAATTACCCTTTCAAACTAGTATTCAGTGAGAATCCATTTTAATTGCAGTCTCCTCACTTTCATACTATTTCCATCTAAGACATATTAGTGTGAACAATCCTGTTGGCCATATAGGAATCTTACTAAACTTACTAAATGTTTAGTAAGTCGACGGAATTTTCTGATGAGGTGAAATAATTATGATAAATATTTGTCGTCAATTCACCTGTGACTCGTTTCACTTTGAACCAACAGGTTTCTTGCTGATGCAGAAGCTAGATAGTTTCATGTCAGCTGCAGTTAAACGTGGTCATTATCAATTATAATTTTGTGGATTTTTCTGTATCACTTCATATAGTTAATTACTAAATGCATACAAGCTTTAGACTAAATAATTTTTACTTTTGGTTTTGTATTGACTCAATAACAGAATCACTCACTGACTAGTTGTAGAAACCACATCTACCTTCCAATGACTGCAGATGATTCTTTATGGAAGTAATTAAAGACTCCAGCTGCTATGTGATCCTGAAAATCTGTTACATCATAAATCTTTTCTGACATAATAGATTACTAAGTGGTCAGTGTCAAGTACACCTGTCGTACTGATGAAGAGTCCCAAACCAGGACGAAACAGCTGTCCAGTACTCCCAGGTTTCCCAATGGTTCTCTAACTGATGTCAGCTTATGATGAAATCCTGAAACCAATCAAATCCCTACAAACCAACACTTGAATACCAATGAGATGCTCACTGGCGACTGGCCCTATTCAGGTAGGTAGTTACCTGGGTTCCAGTGGGAAGTCGTGACCAGTAGGGTGCAGCTGGTCGGGTGTGAGGACAAATACTCGCCGAAGACATTGGCTAGCGGTCGCGCTATGTCGTGAATTGGCAGAAGTTATAATTCAAGGACCTTTGGATCGGGTCCCAGTGGCTTAATGATATACGAGCTCGCCTTGTAATCGGAAGGTCCTGGGTTCGAATCCCGGTGGGTGGGTACTGATGAAGAGTCACAAATCAGGACGAAACAGTTGTCTGGTACTCCCAGGCTTTCCAATGGTTCTTTAACTAATGTCAGCTCATGATGAAATCCTGAAACCAATCAAATCCCTACAAACCAACACTTGAACACCTATTATAAGTTTTGTGATCTGAAGGCCTTGTTAATAGCAAAATGATATACTAATTACTAAATTCACTATGTATTTTCACAGGGTAAACTATAGGTGGACATCGTTTTTTTTATCTTTTGAGGAGAATAATAATCCTAAGAAGTAGTTCATTTATTATCATTTCACAGTTTTTTTTCACTTCTTTGCGTTACAAGTGGAACATAAGGTTTGCAGCTTAGGCTTTAAAGTTTTAGTAGTAATGTGGTTATGATATAAATGAAGCAAAAAGTTGTGTGTGACGGACTTGATATGATCATGTACTCGAAACGTCATCGGTAAATATTACTGTATAGCACTGCGTGATTTATTAAAATAAAATCTTATCTATAATGGAGTTATACTCTACCACAGTGTCCAAGTTTTATACTTACATCAGTGATATTGTTTTATTTCACATGGTGAAGTTGATAGCCTGACTACAAATCTCCCCTCTTCACCGTATATACCTCCGTCTTAGCTAGTTTTGAAAGTTTGTCGACTGAGAATTAAGCCAAAACTGTCTGGTTGGCAAGCACCCTACCTTTGAACCCCCGACGCCTGTCACAGATACTATATTGCTAGTCTTCATCAATTAGTAAAGTGCTCAACCATATAACACTAGTTACCATATATTTAATCAATAGGTTCTTTTTGCATTCATATTTGATTAGTTGTTTTGTAATCATCTATTTCTCATTTCGAACTTTTTTTGTAGTGCCGAAAGGATTGTCGTCCTAATGGACCGATTAACCCTCAATCGTGCCAACTTTTCCAAGCATTTCTTGAGTTTTAATAAGCAAAGGGAATACCTAGCAACCGTAATAATTTTCTATAACATTGTACATTTTCTTTAAGTTTTCTTATTTGAGTCTTCTGTCTTGAGTCTTTCATGTATGCTGTCATCATTCTAATTTTTTAACATCATTATGCATTTTTTATGTCGTATTTCTTATCGTTTTAAAAAATAAACATTGTTGAGAAATTCTGAAAATGTATTTAATTATTTATTTATCTTCAAAACGCATCACTTACAGTCTATTTCAGGTAATTTGTCTAACTACATTGTATGGGTCTTTGAAATTGAAAATGCGTTCTAAGAATTGGTAGAGTATTTTTGCGTCGTTCATTTGGAATTAAATCATCCCTTCGTCTCGGTGTAGTTATAGTTTTTTAGATTGAATTTCGAACATCATTTCACATATTGAATTGAATTTTAGATTTTCCTGTCGATTGATTGGACCGAAGTGCTCGGTCTCAGGTTGACATGTCGGCTTCTTGTGCAGATGCTTCGACGATGTCTGGACATTTAATTAGAATTTAATTTGTGGATGGTGGCTAGCAGTGGAATTCAGGACGAGCATTTCGTCCTATTTGGGACTCGTCATCTGGATGTACCTTCTATTGTGGCCCAAGTGGTCTAGTGGATAACACTTTGACGTTTGAAACTATGGGGACTGGGTTCTAGCCTCGGTGGGAACACCATCACTCACCGGGAAATGCAGGTACATCCGGATGAAGAGTCTCAAATGGGATGAAATGCGCATCCTAGATTCCATTGCTAGTCACCATCCACAAATTAAAATCATTTCACATAATTAAGTTTGAGGTTGTTTGTATCGTTGATTATTCTTCTTAAAATAAGTGTTCTGAATAATTTTTAAAGGTTTTTAATGAGATTATTTAATAAAACTACAGCATATGTTTACGCTTTTCTCAAGACAGTTGCTTCATTTCCTCCCAACTTTGTGATGTTTGCTGGTAATTTAAGCCAAAGGAGTACTCGTAGTCTCTTAAAACCGCTTTTTTGATTTCATATAGTAGCTTTAAATATCAGGGTCTAATACTAAATCAAACAATAGATTTCACTTGCTAAAACCCTGGCGTCTCGAGTTATGAATGTATTCTGAGTCTTATCTGGGAAACATGGTAGATCTTCAAAATTGATCCTGCATGTGTCAAATTCTTTGGCTAGTTGTCATGAAATTACTGGTGCAGGTATAGTAATGAGCTCGGGAGGCGGATTCACTACTTGACTGCATCGCATTTAATAGTTATCTGTGTGCTGTGCAGTTGAATGGGTCCGTAAGGCAAGGAACTATTAAGATAGTCGTGAGTATTTTTTCATAGTCTGTGCTAACGCACCAACCGACTGCATTTCGGACGAAGTAAAGGATAAGTTTTATTAGGAGGTTGTTAGTTTTCCCCTGAGAGCGTAATACTCAGATGCAGTCATCTTAGTCGGTAATCCAAATGCTCAAGTAGCAAGTTATAAGAGCAGCAAGCTGAGCCAGTTGGAAAAGTATATTAACGGTATCTATCAGGTCCTGGGCTGATGAACTAACGATTCTCCTCATAAACAATTTGTTACTGGTGAGTTCGTCTCGCATGGTAACGACCGACGTTAAGACAACGCTTAACACAAATAGATCACGTAGCTATGAGTCTACTGTAGAAATACCAGTGATCGGTTTTATTATCTTGCCAGTGGATTTTCGCAGTTTTATCCGAAATGATGAATACAAGCACAATATACCTGGCAGTCTCCGAAAGTGTGGTGGAGTGGAAGTTCTTCAAGAGTAAGCTGACCAGAAGTTTTCGCAACGACAGAATAGTGATGAATGACAAGCTAGAAAGAACTGAAAAATAGCATGAGCGATAAATAATATCTATTGATCACTTAGGCACATTGAGGTAATGGGCTGTGTAAATGAAGTGGTGGTAAATGAAGTCATCTCTGTAGTGTTGGGTAGAAATATTAACTGTTATAATGCTTTGCAAGTTCTCTGAAACACCAATAGAACCATCTTTTTGAATCTATGTATTCCTACGCATTCCTAGATACCTACATTGCACCAAGCTCATGTTCAGGTGAAGTGAGCAAATATTAACCCTATTTGTGAAAATACTGGTAACTGTGTACTGTTGGATATTTTGTACAACGGTATGTTAATCTGGTATGAACGTATAGTTCCTGAAATCCATTGTAACAGTGTACTCAAATATTTGAGATGAATTTCGAATGTGCACTATTAAAGTCAACTCGTAGAAATTAATGTTAAGTTCCTCCAGATATGCATGACCTTGTCGAATAGTATCTTAAGATAAATTACACCTCATCTGACTGATCCAGTCAGTTATCCCGTGTTCAAGCGTAGTGACGGGAAGTAATTCCTTCTGGTGAACAGCATGAATTCAAATGACCTGTTTTCAGTTCTAAAACAAATAGAAGTCACTTAAAGAATTAAAGTAAACATTTAGTTTTTGGCGATTAGTTACCCTAATAAGGTTAGATTATATACACTACTAATGCTTGGAAGACATGTGATATGGATGTGAACAGATCATCGGAACTGCAAATGTTCAATTCAGACGTATTCAGTCTTATCATTGTGATTGACGTCGTTAAATTTACCAGCTATTCTATCATTGCTTTTATTCAGAATCTGAGTGTATGGGAATCCGATTGATTTTGAGGTTGACTTCGTGAATGACCGATAGCATATGGGGAATCATCAAAAAGGGGAGAGCACGGGGAAAGATATTCCATCCTAGTCTGTCTACTTAAAAGCCACCAAGTGTCAAATCCAGAATCTTGAGCTTAAAGTATAATCACGATTAGTATTCACTCACTGGTTTGGAATACCTTAGCTTAAGAAGTGGATTATATATCCAAAATAAACAAACAATTGATTATATTGATGAGTAGTGTGTTGAAGCAAGCTATTTCATGATGGGTAAAACTTTATTTGACTAAAAAAGCAACAATAAAGCATAGGTTAATTAATTTAACAATAACATGCATTCATGAATAATTGATTGTTAGCCGAATTTCTCTTTTATTACTATTATTTAATTATTCCCCTGATATGTTGAATAACGAGCTTCAAGATTCTGTATTACACGAAGCTTTCTTAAACTGGGTAGAATGATATAGCTTACAGCACCCCAGCATAAAAATATCCAGCATATAATTAACATAATCGATATAATTGCACCTGTAGAAAAACTAACTGCAACTGAATTTTGACGTACAGCGAAATAAGATCCTAAAAATGTTCCTTCACCATCTAAAGAATATAAGAAGTAATTAAATTACATTGAGTGTGAAAAAATTACAATAAAAAGTACTTACTAATTTTCAATATGTACCTCATGCACAGTACATTTCTTTATACCAGAGGCATCTTATGAATCTTTACAAACATGGAGTTAACTGCTAAATAATTAATGATTTAGCCTTCTATCAACTTCTTCTCTCACCTTGTTTTTCAACTACATCTAGCTGTGAGGTGCTAATTTTAATTAGTTTTATACTATGGCTTCATTAAGCTTTGATATATTCTTTTATCCTGTTTAGATTATTCACGAATAGATGATAAGTTCCTGATAGTAAGGAAGTCGACACTAGAAACTGCATTTCATTCAGAAGTAAGTATGCACTATAAATCAGTCAATAAAGTTACAAAATTTGAACAAAGCAAGAACTACAGTTTTAGCAGAATAAAATAAAGTGGTACCAACTTTTATTTCGTTACCTTCTCGTTAGCTGCTTACAGGGCAAAGACATTATTAAATGTATCTTCAAAAACAATTTCAACATACTTGCACAGAGTTCATTTTAAACAAAAATCAATCGATCAATATTTGCATACAGTAATTATATATATATATATATATATATATATATATATATATATATATATATATATATATATATATATATATATATATATATATATATATGAGAAGGATATCTATCGAAGGGCAAGTTGTTCGATAGACGGGGATGAGCTTAGCCCCAGGATAGGCTATGGCTAGTGATGTACTCAGACTTCTATTGATCATCGTTGCAGCGATGATAACTCCAACTGTATATACAAATTTACATGTATCTGCGGGAGCAGTTACATTGGAAGGACAGAAAGAAGGACATATCTACGATTTTCTGAGCATGTAGCAAAAAGCTTAAGTCTAAACAAATGCTTTAAACAGTGCCATCGCCAGGCATCTCCTCGACACGGGTCATGAGATGGACGTCGAAAAGTCGTTCAAAATTATCAATAGGCAAAAGAGCTCAATTCTTTTCAAGTTCGCTGAAGCCATTTCTATCAAGCGCCTGAAACCGGATATATGCGTCCAGAAAGAAGTGGTTATCAGTCTTTCTTTGTCCTGGTATCTGGATATTTTTCATCTCTCTTTCATCTGAATCTGAAGTGCTGAAAAGTTTCCTTTGTGTATGATTATTATTGTTGTTCGGAATATATATATATATATATATATATAATTACTGTATGCAAATATTGATCGATTGATTTTTGTTTAAAATGAACTCTGTGCAAGTATGTTGAAATTGTTTTTGAAGATATATTTAATAATGTCTTTGCCCTGTAAGCAGCTAACGAGAAGGTAACGAAATAAAAGATGGTACCACTTTATTTTATTCTGCTAAAACTGTAGTTCTTGTTTTGTTCAAATTCATTAAGGGGAATAAATGTATGAAAGTTACAAAACTTATATCAATCGAAGTGTCTAATGTCGTCATTTCGCATGTCAAACCGAAGTCTTCTTCCACGTGCACTGTTAAATGAAGTAAGATTAATTACGGAGTAATTAAAAGTTTTTTTTTTTATTCCTTTACGTTCCCAGTGGAAAATAGGGCTTCAAGCTACAGGCTTGAAGTTTCTATAGCAGTGGTGTTTATTTCTACAGGATGGGGTTGCTAGCCTCATGATCAACCTTCCCTATTTGCCACTCCTATTACTGGCTTAGCGAGGAGCCCTGACCACCTGCATGCCTGGCGATCATTCTACCGCTGTGCCACCGACGTCCAATTAAAAGTTGCTTCGTCAAAATTTGTAAAAGTTCTTCAGATTAATAATTAACGATCTAATGTATGTAAGGAAGCGTTCACTGACTGAGACTTTATGTCAGAAGCTAAAATCTCTTAACAGAATAACTCTAAGTAGAATTTTGGCATTTGTATGCATTCTGTGTCTCAGAGACAGGCAAATTACGCCCTGGTTTTGTTATTTACTTAATCTCATCTCGCCAACATGCCAGATCTACAACCATAAGATGGATATAAAAGGATGTA